TTAAGGAACAACTTTGGCAAGTTGTGTATTATTGTTATGATCTCATTTGTGGCCACTTATTAGGTCTTATTTTTCAGATTGTTGAAATTTATATAATATAGCTAAAAATGAAGTATTTCTTGACTAAAACCAATGAAGTAGTGAAAGTGTACAGCGTATTAAGAAATATATTGTATATTCCATTGCTACAAAGAGAATAAAATATCTAGGAATACAACTTACAAGGGATGTGAAGGATCTCTTCAGGAAGAACTACAAACCACTGCTCAAGGAAATAAGAGAGGACACAAACAAGTGGAAAAACATTCCATGCTCATAGATAGGAAGAATCAATATTGTGAAAATGGCCATACTTCCCAAAGTAATTTATAGATTCAGTGCTATCCCCATCAAGCTACCATTGACTTTCTTCACAGAATTAAAAAAACTAATTTAAATTTCATATGGAACCAAAAAAGAGCCTGTTTACCCAAGACAATCCTATGGAAAAACAAAACAAAACAAAACAAAAAACAAAGCTGGAGCCATCATGCTACCTGACTTCAAACTATACTACAAGGCTACAGTAACCAAAACAGCATGGTACTGATACCAAAACAGAGATATAGACCAATGGAACAGAACAGAGGCCTCAGAAATAACACCATGCATCTACAACCATCTGATCTTTGACAAACCTGACAAAAACAAACACTGGGGAAAGGATTCCCTATTTAATAAATGGTATTGGGTAAACTGGCTAGGCAAAGATACAGACCAATGGAACAGAACAGAGGCCTCAGAAATAACACCACGCATCTACAACCATCTGATCTTTGACAAACCTGACAAAAACAAACACTGGGGAAAGGATTCCCTATTTAATAAATGGTATTGGGTAAACTGGCTAGCCATATACAGAAAACTGAAACTGGATCCCTTCCTTACACCTTAGACAGAATTAACTCAAGATGGGTTAAAGACTTAAACATAAGACCTAAAACCATAAAAACCCTGGAAGAAAACTAGGCAATACCATTCAGGACATAGACATGGGCAAAGACTTTATGACTAAAACACCAAAAGCAATGGCAAAAAAAAGCCAAAATTGACAGGTGAGATCTTATTGAACTAAACAGCTTCTGTACAGCAAAATAAACTATCATCAGAGTGAACAGGCAACCTATAGAATTGGAGAAAATTTTTTGCCATCTGTCCATCCGATATCCGAATATACAAAGAAGTTAAATTTACGAGAAAAAAACAACCCCATCAAAAACTGGGCAAAGGATATAAACAGACACTTCTCAAAAGAAGACATTTATGTGGCTGACAAACATGAAAAACTCATCACTAGTCATTAGAGAAATGCACATCAAACTACAATGAGATACTATCTCATGCCAGTTAGAATGGCGATCATTAAAAAGTCTGGAAACAACAGATGCTGGAGAGGATGTGGAGAAAAAGGAATGCTTTTACACTGTGGTGGGAGTGTAAATTAGTTCAACCATTGTGGAAGACAGTGTGGTGATTCGTCAGGGATCTAGAACCAGAAATACCATTTGACCCAACAGTCTCATTAGTGGGTATATACCTAAAGGATTATAAATCATTCTACTATAAAGACACATGCACACGTATGTTTATTGCAGCACTATTCACAAAAGCAAAGACTTGGAACCAACCCAAATGCCCATCAAAAAATATGTCATGTATATACCATGGAATACTATGCAGCCATAAAAAGGATGAGTTCATGTCCTTTGCAAGGACGTAGACGAAACTGGAACCATCATTCTCAGCAAACTAACACAGGATCAGAAAACCAAACACCACATATTCTCACTTATAAGTGGGAGTTGAACAATGAGAACACATGGACACAGGGAGGGGAACATCACACACTGGGGCCTGTCCTGGGGTGGGAGACTAGAGGAGGGATAGCATTAGGAGAATTACCTAATGTAGATGACAGGTTGATGAGTGCAGCAAACCACTGTGGCACGTGTATACCTGTGTAACAGACCTGCAGGTTCTGTGCATGTATCCCAGAACTAAAGTATAATAAAATAAATATATTGTATTCTTCACCTAAATTGTTAGTTTTCTGTTGAATGATTTTTAAAGTTAAGGTAGTTAAGGCAGACATCAAGGGCCTATAAGAAACTAAAATATTTTATAAATGCATGCTTACTGGGAAACATGCAATGAATTATGCTAGGACTACAGAATTGTGGATGAAACCCAATTCTAGCCTTTAAGGGTTTGAATTCTAGCACAGAAGATAGGTAATATTTGCTAGTGAGTAAATGCAAGCAGTTGAGAATGGATTTTCCAACATAGTTCTAGTTTTTGGAGAAGTCTGTGCTTATATGAAATCAGTTATTGTTGTGGCTATTATTTATTTTACTTTAACATCTGGGATACATGTGCAGAAAGTGCAGGTTTGTTACATAGATATACATGTGCTGTGGTAGTTTGCTGCACCTATCAACCCATCATTTAGGTTTTAAGCCTTGCATGCATTAGGTATTTGTCCTGATGCTCTGCCTCCCCTTGCCCCCCACTCCCCGACAGGCCCCAGCGTGTGATGTTCCCCTCCCTGTGTCCATGTGTTCTCATTGTTCAACTCCCACTTATGAGTAAGAACATTTGGTGTTTGGTTTTCTGTTTCTGTGTTAATTTGCTGAGAATGATGGTTTCCAGTTTCATCCATGTCCCTGTAAAGGACATGAACTCACCTTTTTTTATGGCCGCATGTGGCCATTATTAATAAAGCACTTTTGGTGGGGTGAGGTGGCTCACACCTGTAATCCCAGCACTTTCGCAGGCTGAGGCAGGAGGATTGCTTGAGCCTAGGAGTTCAAGACTAGCCTGGGCAACATAGCGAGACCCCGTCTGTACAAATAAATAAATATAAATAAAGCACCTTTGGTAAAATGTGCTTTAACATCATGGCCAATTTCCAGTTTGATTACTGTCTCCCCTAAGAAATTTCGGCCAAATTATGTTCTTTGAAACAGCTGGCACTTCATTGCTGGGTAAAGCCTTTTCTTTATCTATTCATTTGTGTGTGTGTGTGTGTGTGTGTGTATTTTTTTTTTAAAGAAACTGCTGTTTTTAAGATGATAGTTATATAATTGATGTAAAATTTCAGTAGACTGAAACTTCCTACATAGTATGCTGGCTCTATATGTAACTTTGAAGGAAGGAGGAATAAGCAAAGAAACCTTTCACTCAACTATGGTAGTTTTATGAACCTCCGTCAAACAACTCGGGTTTCAATCTAGGCTTTAATATTCATTATGTGACTGGATTTCTACCTTCCTCACCAGTTGCATAGGGTTGTTTGATGAGCAAATTAAAGTGTATATAGGAAGACATTCTGAGCACAGTAAAGCACTGCACAAGTGACAGATAATGAAAGACACAGCTTTCACTGAGTTTCCAACACCAGAAACTACCAATGGTAACAACAACAAAAAAAGGATTTGGCAGCAATAAATTACAAGCCACCATTTATTCTTTAACAGTAATGGCCACTGTTTACTGAGCACTTACTGTGTGTCAACCACTGTGATAATGGCTTTACCATTTAATCTTCTCAACAATGAGAATTAAAACCATTTAATCTTCTCAACAATGCTTTTGAAAGAAAAGAAAAAAAAAAAAAACCCTGAATATCATGCTGGCGATCATTGCCAATATAACCAATAAAATAGATAACTTATGAAACATATACTAAACTTAATAATGTAACCCTAGTATAAAATTATTTTATTTACAATATAGATGATTCCTGGGATGATTTTTCAAGTATTGAATATATATAAATTTAACGATCCTGCCCTTTTATGTAAGCGCACTTGTGAAGTGCTTTACTGTATTGAGAGTGCTTTCTTCTATATCCTTCTATTTGCTCATCAAACCGTCCCCTGTATGGCTGGTGAGGAAGATGGTCCGCTAGTCAACGAATTAATGTTAGAGCCTAGATTGAAACCTGGGTTGTGTGATTACTGGTTGATCTTTTCACTCCTTTGTCTTTAATAAAGAGGTTTGTAAAACTGTACTAGTTGAATGAAAGGTTTTTTTGCTTATTTCTCTTTCCTTCAGGGTTAGATATAGGGCCAACATACTTGGTAGAAAGATTATCATTCTATGGAATATCAAGTTTTCATTCAAGGATTTGGTGAAATCTTAGTCTTTTTTTCTTTAAGGTATGTTTTCCTTAAATCTTTATAGCTTGGAATAATTACTTATTTAACAAATATTTGTTGAACACCTACAGTTTTTTGTTTATTGGCTTTCATGGTTGTTAAAACGCTACCTTTTGTTACATGAGCTGTGATTTATAATCATGTTTTAAAAGATTCTGTATGTACTTCATTCATTACTGAGAAATTTAGAGCTATAAGGAACCTTTGAAGTGTTTCTGGAGTGTTTAGTCACATCCTGAGCCAGACAAGTTTTTATTACTTGAAACCTTAATGATAGACGGATAAGGGCATCTTCAGAGGGAAGATCTTGAGAGATTTGGAGTAGAGAGGCGTGTATTAAACTTTTGAAATCAACTGAGACTGCTATTGTTTTCAAAACCTCCTTGTCGGGATTTTCAGGTAAGTTTGGAGGATTCTTAATTGTGGAACTTGGGGAACTAACATAATATTTAGCAATCTGCTGGTTGAGGTCTTTTCTGTTTCTTGGAACTCATGGCTCTAGCCTCGTATCCTCTTGATAGATAAGAAAACAGGCCAGAAGTATTGTGACTTGCGTCAATAGTTGATCAGTGTGAGATTTAGAAACCTGAATTTCCAGTCCCTTGAAAAAATTTTTTTTTAAGAGACAGAGTCTTGCTCTGTCACCCAGGCCAGAGTGCAGTGGTACGATCATAGCTTACTGTAACTTCAAACTCCTGGGCTCAAGCCTCAGCCTCCCAAGCAGCTAGGACTACAGGCGTGCTCCATCACACCCAGGTAATTGTAAAATTTTTGTAGAGATGAGGTGTTGCTATGTTGCCAATCCTGGTCTCAAACTTTGCCTCAAGCACCCCTCCTGCCTCAGCCTCCCAAAGTATTGAGATTACTGGTGTGAGCCACCATGCCCAGCCTCCAGTCCCTTTTTATAACCTTGCTGTGGTAGCATTTAATTAAATTTGCTAGCAAGTAACTTCTTAAGGATTTCTTCTTCTTCTTTTCCCTATACCTAAATCTGGTGGTATACCTCTTGACAGTTCCTAACATTCGACCTACTACTTATAAATAATATAAGAACTTAAAAACAAGAACTAAATGTCAAAAATCTAGGCTAATCGTATGGTGAATAAAGAATAAAATGACTGTCTTTTTTCCTATATTTACTAATATTTTTGAAGTACAAATGTTAACAAACTTAATTTTTATGTCTTTTATAACAACTTTTATTTTGCTATATATCCTCACTTCTTTGATACCATAGTGTTTCTCAGGAGAAATACCAGTAAGTATATTTCTCTCTTTTATTTGTGATACAAATATTAAGAATCACTGATAGTAATATAATCACTTTGATTATACGTGAATGTGTGAATGACTGGGTGTGTGTGTATGATGTAAAGTTTGTATAGCTCCCTGACAATTTTTAGACATATGAATTAAACCATTTCATCTTTACATGTTTTATAGTCTGATCAGGGTTCCTTTGCACAACATTATACTTTACTTTTAAGAATATACTAGGGACAGTCAACCCAGAATGGCAGCAAGTAGATGATTTTTATGCCAGGGAGGTAGTTGCTCAACAGGTAAAGCTCTTGGTGCATTCGTGGAATAGGCAAAGTGATTTTGGGCTTCTTTCTTCTTTGTTTCATCCAGTTTTGCTATTTATCTTTTGTCCCCCTAGAGCCCAAAGTCTCTGCACTAGTATTTATTTCTAGCCTACCTTCTAAAATGTTATGATTGCTTCATTTTTATTTACTTCACCAACAGTTCTTCCTTTACTAGAATATCTTTTATGTTTTATGTAAGTCTGAATAAAGTAATTTTTCTAAATGCTAATGTAAAGCATTCTATTTGCTCATCAAACCGTCCCCTGTATGGCTGGTGAGGAAGATGGTCCGCTAGTCAACGAATTAATGTTAGAGCCTAGATTGAAACCTGGGTTGTGTGATTACTGGTTGATCTTTTCACTCCTTTGTCTTTAATAAAGAGGTTTATAAAACTGTACTAGTTGAATGAAAGGTTTTTTTGCTTATTTCTCTTTCCTTCAAGGTTAGATATAGGGCCAACATACTTGGTAGAAAGATTATCATGCTGTATGTGATAGAGGGGTGTGGGGGGGGATGGAGTTTTATTTTTTCCTTAAGATAATAATTCTTTTTCTCATGATTATTGAAGTATTATGTATACATTAAAGATTTAAGGAAGTATAAGGAGGAAGATAGTAATGATTATCTTCATATTATCATTCCAGTCAGAAGTTAGCTACTTCTAAAATGTTGTGTTTCCACTCTGTAGTTTTGCGTAGATATTAACATTTAAAAGTGAAACTTGAGGTATCTCTCATTGGAAGAATGGGAAAAAAGCAGACTTTTTACCATTTTAGGGCCCTCTCATGACCATTCTCACCTAATCTTGGTCCTCTAAGTCTCTGAGAAGTCCTCCAGTCTCTGAGAAGGCTCCAGTTTGTTCTGTCTTATTTAATTGAGCAGTTCTGAGTCTTATTTTTACCAGGGAACTTTGTTTTTCAATTTTAATATAGATCGTGTGGAGATGTGCTGTTATGTAGGAGTTTGCTATCAAAGTGTGGTCCACAGACCAGTGGTGTTAGCATCACCTGGGAGCTTGTTAGAAATGTACAATCTCAGGCCTCACTGAGGACTTACTGCATCAGAACCTGCACTTTAATAGGATCTTTAGGTTATTTATATGCACATTGAAGTTTGAGAAACACTGCTCTTTTTTTTCCAGATAAGATAGGTGGACAGGGGTCTGAGGTATTCATCCCACTTTGAGCTGCTTTTTCCAAAGAGCTTTTCTCTCACGTTTTTGTGTGTGCATCTGTGTGTGCAGGCAGGGTTGTATGTATAGGCATGTGCCTGGGCATGCATATGTGTACAGGAATGTGGGTATGTGGGCATCTCTCTGTGTCTATATCCCTGGTCCCCCTAGTCTGTTCAGCAGATACTTCTCTGAATGAGCTTAATGAACTCTCATGTCCAAAAATGCTTTCTCTGTTATACTTCCTATCTCTTACCGCTGCTCCCAATATCCGTACACAGCTGTACATTCCTTCAACCATACAGCTCATCGAAGGACATCTTTGGGAAGCCTCCTGTGAAAGAGCAAGCTTCAGGAAATAAGAGGGTAAAGAGGAGAGAGGTTTGCCTGTTAGAATCAAGTAACAAGCTTTTTGTGGTAGAAGAGACCTGACTTTCCCTCAGGAGGGCCCAGTGGTTTCAAATTGTGTTGACTGGATCCCTATGGTTTCGTGGAATTGGCTCAGTGGGAGCAAGCAAGTGGGGCTCTGTGGTTGCCCACTTCACTTCATCCAGATCATTTATACTATTATATATTTTATTAGGATTTCTCTTAATTTTTATTTTATGTGTTTTGCAAAACATTTTTTGTGGAAAATCACTGCCCTGTTTTACCACTCAAATTCTATTCATCTCAGGCTAGGTTAATTGTGACTGGACTACCTACCCTCACATTTCAAAAAGAAGAGGTATTAGTGAGTTTTGTAGGGTGGCAGGAGAGATTTGAAGCTTTCTTTCTTGAAAGCCCTTTCTCTTTCCCTCCTTCCCTATATCTTTCCTTTTCTCCCCCCACTCATCATCTTAGACACATTTGTTCTGTTTAAGGACCAAAATTAGTAAGGCTTAGAGCTGCATAATCGACTGATTAAATTAGTAATGAGCACTATAACTTACAGATGAAACATTTGTTAAATTCATAATGCTGTCAAATAATACATTTTGATAACATTTAATAAGATTATTTTGGGAGACAACCATAATCCCAAAAGATACGGTCCTGAATGCCATAATCTCAAATGTTGAAATCCTGAAAAATCAACATCCTTAAAGTCTAAAATCCCCCAAATCACAATCCTAAAAGGTCAAAATCCCAAAAATGTATTCTGGAAAAAATAATACATTTTTTAAAAGACACATAGATTTTAAAAAGGGGATTTATTTGAGAAACAGATAAAAAACAGAACAATTCATAGGCCATTTTACGCAGTAAAATAGGCAATAACATTTTTGCAAGCATAGATACTCAGGTATACTAACAGTCATGCAGATACAACAGTTAAAAGCAGACCATATTCATAAGTCAAAAAGGGAAATGTATAAATGCATATCACTGTGGTTGGTAATTGTGTGCACCCAGCTTTATGACTGCAGTAATCTGAAATACCATGAAATACCTAAGCCTTGATGAGATCGATAATCATCTGTGTGTGTGTGTGTGTGTGTGTGTGTGTTTCCTAGTGGCCTGATGTAGACTGTCACATAAAAATTTGGACCTTACCAGTAAGTTTTAACGTCTAGAAAGTACTCTGGTAGTGTAATAGGAGTAAGCAGTATATATAGACTTAAGAATTAAGCAGGTAAAAGCAGAATTTTTTACTGTTTTCCATAAAGAATACATCTGTTTTCAAGGTTGGGATTGTCTGAGCATGGTCGTGGTCTGTTTTAGGCCACTGTGCCCTTTTATATATTATGCTGTTTCTTCGGCCCTCCACTTCCCCATCCTCCACAATTTCATGGTCTTTATGATCATTCAAGCTTCATCTCTGAAGGCTAAGCATTCCCTTGTCTCTAGGTCAGAATGAATGTCCTCTCAATTACTCTTAAAGCATTCAATGCTAAAAGTGATGATGTATTTACACAGTGTATTGAAAATATTTTGTATTCGTTTCTTTCCTTCCTGAGGGCCATACCATTGGTCCATTATCACATTTCGGTTTAAATCCCCTCCTTGACATTCATATTCTTGTGGTTTTTTGGTCGTAAATAAATGTAAGTAATGAAATGAATTTAGCACATTTCTTAGTTAATAATAAGGATAATTGTAATAATATTTTAAAAATTCTCAATGCCTATCACAATGCCTTGTGTAGGTACTGATAATACTTAAATGAACTGCAAAAGGCCCTTTGTTATATATCTGATTCTGTTGCTGCTTTAAACTGCTTTCCACTTCTTGTTTTTTTTTAAGGAATATTTATGTAATTTCATAATTTTGTGAGTTAGTTGGAATATGTTTAATTGTACCCATTTTACTGGGTAGAAGAACTTACGTCAGTCTGAGCTACCTGCATGTTCAATTATCAGCAGTTTTAAAAATGTTTTCTTTTACCGTCAATATAATGCATGATGGAAACCACAGCCGATAGATTTTATTCTCTCTTGTGTCATGCTTGCTTACTTGCTGAATCTTAACTAGAGGCAGAGAAACCATTTAGTGGCAGCCATTTTAATAGTCTAGGCAAGAGGCACTAATGTCCTGAACAAGGGGAATGCCAGATAGGAGAGAGAGATGAATGTATAGATGTGTTTAGGAGAGATCTGTAGGACTTGATGGTTGATTGGATATGGTTGTGGGAGGGAGGAAGTTGGGTTGTAGTGAAGGGGAGGTATCAAGGATGAATCTCAGGATTCTGGCTTAAGCCGTTGAGTGAGTGGTGTGTGTTCTCACTGAGATAGCAAATAGGAAGACAGGTTTAGGGGAAGGTAATAGTTTACCTATAGATTGGTTGAATTTGGGGTGCCTGGGGAAAATCTGAGAGGGAAGATCTGTGAAGCAGTTTGGATATGTTGGGTAAGGCTTAGGAAGGAGGAAAGGGCTGTAAATACATATTTGATAGTCATTAGTACACATGATTTGAGTTGAAGCTGTAGGAGCGGGTAAGACAGATGAGGGAGGGAATAGATTGCATACCATGAGAAAAGAGACCTAGGAGAGACTTTTGAGGAACATCTTTATTTTTTTTACAGTGGTAGGAGAAGAGCATCCCACAAAGAAGAAAGAAATGGAGAAGGAAAAGAAAATTAATAGGGAGTAAGAAACCCGGGAGAGTGTAACAATACAGAAACAGAAGGAAGAGGATATTTTCAAAAAGACGGGGGTGTGTTTAGCCACGTCCAATGGCTTTTACTTTCATCAGACAGAATCTTAATTTTTCTCTCAAGTTCCATGTAATATTGTTTTAGTAAGTCTGGCATTTAGATTTGTATTTTTAAGTTGTAACAAGATAATAATTCTGCATAGTGCTTGTCCTCAGCTTTTCATGTTACAATAATTCTGATTTATATTTTTAGGCTAAATAAAGGAGGTTAATATTGGTAGATAGGAAGATGAGTAAAATTATGTTAGTAACTAACTTTGTTTCCCGAGGATATAATTATCTAGTAATATCTATCTTTAAGTCTATGCCTCTAACCATCACTTTAGATTATAGCTGCAAAATGTGATAGAATTAACAACAACAAAAATCCCAAAACATTGGGTCCTTCTTGGTGTCAAGAATTTAAGTGGTAAGTAAATGTACAGTAACTTTATTTATTTTTTGAGAGGGAATCTCGCTCTGTAGCCTAGGCTGCTGGAGTGCAGTGGCGCGATCTTGGCTCACTGCAACCTCTGCCTCCTGGTTTCAAGTGATTCTCCTGCTTCAGCCTCCGAAGTAGTTAGGACTACAGGCGCCACCATGCCTGGCTAATTTTTTTTAGGTGTTTTTAGTAGAGACGCGGTTTCGCCATGTTGGCCAGGCTGTCTTGAACTCCTGACCTCAGGTGGTCCGCCCGCCTCAGCCTCCCAAAGTGCTAGGATTACCGGTGTGAGCCACTGCGCCCGGCCACTGTATGGTAGCTTTGAAAACTCCTGGGAGATTGCATACTTAATTGTGAGGGAATATGTGTAGTTTCAAGAAACCCTTATTTTCTGTTTTTAGGAGGAATGAATCATAGCACTCTAATGATTGGTTAACGAAGCAAATCATAGAACTTCTTTTAAAACCTCATTTGTTCTATAAAGTAACAGCTATCTGTGAAGTACACTGGATTTTTTTTTCTTTTTTTATTTCAATTTTTTATAGATATGAGGTCTCACTATGTTGCCTAGGCTGGTCTCGAACTCCTGGGCTCTTGCGATCCTCCCACCTCAGCCTCCCAAAATGCTGGAATTACAGGTGTTAGCCATTGCACCCAGCCTACAGTGGATTTCATATGATTTACAATGCCTAAAGATTCAGGTTTTAGGAGTGCTGAATAGCAAAGTTATTTAGAACATAGGCAAAATAAGAAAGGAATACTCTTTCTTATTCTAGAGTCTATAGAGTCTAGAAAGACTCTAGAACTAAAAATCAGTGAGTGGCTTTTGAATTTCACAAATATTTTAATTGACCATTAAACATTAAAATGCTATTTTGAGGCAGGTTTTGGGCTAGGTAATGGAGTTACAAAGGAGAACAAGACACATCCTTACCCTCATGAAATTTGTTTATTTGTTAATTTAATGTATTTATTTAAGATGGAGGAGTCATGCTCTGTTGCCCAGGCTGTAGTGCCTTGGTACCATCTCAGCTCACTGCAACCTCTGCCTCCCAGGTTCAAACGATTCTCCTGCCTCAGCTTCCTGAGTAGCTGGGACTGCAGGCGCCAGCCACCACACCTGGTTAATTTTTGTATTTTTAGTAGGGAAGGGGTTTTACCATGTTGGCCAGGCTGGTCTTGAACTCTCGACCTCATGTGATCCACCCGCCTCAGCCTCCCAAAGTGCTGGAATTACAGGCGTGAGTCCCTGTGCCCGGCCAGCCCTCATGGAATTTAAGTTGCAAACAAAATATACAAAAAGAAAAAATAATTGCAAACTGTGGCAATGACAGGAATTACTTGAAATAGGTGAAGAGGAGAGGCTTCTGTGAGTGGGTGGCATTTAATGGGCAGATGGATAAGAGGAGGCTGGGCATGGCGGCTCACACCTGTAATCCCAGCACTTTGGGAGGCTGAGGCCATTGGATCACTTGAGCTCAGGAGTTCGAGACCAGCCTGGGCAACGTGGCAAAACCCTGTCTCTACAAAAAGTACAAAAATTAGCCGGGCATGGTAGCATGAGCTTGGTTTCCCAGCTACTTGGAAGGCTGAGTTAAGAGAATGGCTTGAGCCCAATAAGGGGAGGTTGCAGTGAGCTGAGATTGTGCCACTGCACTCCAGCCTGGGCAAAAGCCAAACCCTATCTCAAAAAAAGGGATAAGTGGAGGTATTTGTGAAAGAGTTATGGTTAACAGCAAGTTGGAAGCCCTTTGGTTAGTTTGTTTTACATTGAGCAAAGACTAGTGCATAGTGAGGCAGAGGGTGAGTGGCATCAGATGAAGGTGAACAACTGAGTAAAATGCCAGATCACAATTTAGTCGTAAATGATGTGACGTTGAGATTTTATTGGAAGTGTAACGAGAAGCCATTTAATGAATTTAACTGTAGAAATGCTCTGTGGCTTCTGTAAGGAGAATGGACTGGCAGCCTGCAGTAATGTATAAATAGAAAGACTAATTGGGCTGTTCTTCTAGTTAGGTGAAAGATAATGGGGCATTAATATTTTGAGATTAGATAAAAGAAAATGAGTTTGTTCCTTACTGTTACTAATACTTTTATGTTTCCATAAAAAGGTCATTAATATACACACAATGAAGACTTTTTAAGGTATGGCATTTCAGTACTTATGGTTTTATATGTACTTTTAAAATGATAATGAAATTAACTATATTAAAGCAGAACGATTTGCATGAATATGTTGAAATGTAAAAGAGGAATTTCTATTTTGAAAAGTTATTTATTCAATGGAAATAAAAAAGGATGACTTTCCCTAAGGAAGGAAAATGAGACATTTGGAGCCACTCAAGTTGGCTTGAGACAATTGAAATTTGTGATGTTAGAAAAATTTGTTATTGTTGTATAAAATCAGTTTTATACAGAAATTATTCACTTTAGAGATGGCTATTAAGAATTGACTTGAAAAGTAATGTAAGGCTTCAAAATCTGGTCAGATTAATTTAAATAATGTAATAGAATTTTGTTCTTTTTCCCACCTTTTCTCTCAGAAGCCTGCAGTCATCCTAGGGCTCAACTGAGGAAAGATCCATTTGCAAGTTCACTCATGTGGTTGTCAGCAGACCTTAGAACACCTGCTTCCACATTAACTCACAGGTCTGTTGTCAGGCCTCAGGCATCTGGCTGTTGGCCAGAGACATCAGTTTATTGCTATGTGGGCTTGTCTTTTCTATAGGCTCAGAACGTGACAGCTTGTTTACCCCAAAGCAAGATGTCTGGACAGTGAGAGAAAGGCCCACCTTGGACTCCCAGAGTGCTGGGATTACAGGCCTGAGCCACAGTGCCAAGCCTCTTAATGACATCTTTTATATTAGCTTATACCATTAGGATAAAATATTTGCATTATTGCTCCTTGATCTGTTTTATCACTATAAACATATAAGACCTTTGTGCTATGTACTTACTCCAGTGACTAGGAGTCTAGTAAACTAGTAAAGTTACTTAGATGACCCTTTTCTGATATTTATTCCAATTAGAAATGGAGGTCTGTGTAGTACCCCTGTTTGAATGGGTCATTTAAAAGTGAATGAATTTATTACTGTTATACTTAATTCAAATTTATAGAAAAATGCTTGCATTTACCCAAGGCAATTTGTATCTTAAATTTAAGAAAGAATCTAGCACAGATCTTGACAATCTTGACAGGTGTGTTGTCAACCCTAACAAATACAAATATGACCTCATAACAGGATTGAAATATAAGATTTTCATTAGAATTACATTTTGAATTTGATTTTGTAGAATGATTTTACAGACCATTTTATCCCCTTTTTTTGTTTGTTTGTTTGTTTTCTTTCATTTATTCAGTGGTCAGTTAGTTACCAGACTATTCTTAAAGGAAAAGCTATACACTTTCTTTGTTTCCATAGAATGAAGAATCATGAAATCGTAAGTTTCTTGAAGGAAGGAGGTGATTATTTAGAAGCATGATGGTAAAGGGTATTAAAATATATCTGTATCTAGTACCTGCTAGTGTAGTTACTAGTGTTAGAAGTCATCACTGCTGTGGCACATTAAAATGAATATGATGAATATATATTGATTAATATGTATTCAGTTAAAGGTAATATAATATCTTCATGTGAGCTTGAAGAAATTTCTTTTGGAGGGATTTTTTTCTTTTGACTAGAAATAGTTTTTATATCAATGTTGCCCATTTTTAGGCAATTATTTTAAAAGTTTATATAAAAATTTGCTATATTTCTTTTGTACAAGTATTTAAAATTAACATTATTAATATCAATGACTGGCATACGTTTATGTGTTTGTGGTTGGTGTGTTAATAGGTGACACATGGTTAAAGACTTTTTTTTTTTTTGAGATGAAATCTTGCTGTGTTTCCCAAGCACAATCTTGGCTCATTGCAACCTCCGCCTCCTGGGTTCAAGCTATTCTCCTGCCTCAGCCTCCTGAGTAGCTGGGATTTTAGGCACCTGCCACTACGCCCGGCTAATTTTTGCATTTTTAGTAGAGATGGGGTTTCACCATGTTAGTCAGGCTGGTCTCGAACTCCTAACCTCAGGTGATCTGCCCGCCTTGGCCTCCCAAAGTGCTGGGATCACAGGCGCGAGCCACCGTGTCCGGCTGACTTTTTTTTTTTTCTGTTTTCTTTTTTTTTTTTGGAGACAGAGTCTCCCTCTGTTGCCCAGGCTGGAGTGCAATGACATGACTTGGCTCGTTGCAACCTCCACGTCCTGAGTTCAAGCAATTCTTCTGCCTCAGCCTTCCGAGTAGCTGGGATTATAGGCGCATGCCACCACGCCTGGCTGCTTTTTGTATTTCTAGTAGAGATGGGGTTTTACCATGTTGGTCAGGCTGGTCTCGAACTCCCAACCTCAGGTGATCCATCCGCCTTGGCCTCCAAAAGTGCTGGGATTACAGGCATGAGCCACGGCGCCCGGACGACTTTCTTTTTTCTTTTCTCTTTTTTTGAGACAGAGTCTCGCTCTGTCATCCAGGCTAAAGTGAAGTGGCACGATCTCCGCTCACTGCAACCTCTGCTTCCCAGGTTCAAGCAGTTCTCGTGCCTCAGCCACCCGAGTAGCTGGGATTACAGTCGTGCACCACCCTGTCCATCTAATTTTAGTATTTTCAGTACAGATGAGGTTTTGCCATGTTGGCCAGGTTGGTCTCGAACTCCGGATCTCAGGTGATCTTCTTGCCTCAGCCTCCCAAAGTACTGGGATTACAGGCATGAGCCACCACGCCTGGCCTGGTTAAGACTTGAGTGATAAAATGGGAATTGTATCGATGCATTTTATCTGAATTCTAACATATTGTTAGTCCACCTTGGTGGCTTCCATACCAAAAATCTAGTGAATGTTAATGACAATGGCTAGTTAAGAAATGATAGATTTTGACCAACTATTCTTGTACTAATATAAAATATAATGATATTGTTTTAGCAAAATGAAATAGCCTGGTGGCTGATATTTTTGTATATTAAAATATAGCAGCCATTATAGTAGATGTTTTAAAATGAAACCATTCTAATGATTTTCTTTTCCTTATGTTTCTGATAATGTCAGAAGTTTCCCCTGACATTATATTTAGCAAATTGTTTCCATATTTACTTTGATATATGCATATATAGTTATCTAGTGAATTTATGCTTTCCCCTGTAGTTCTACGTGTAATTATAATATCAAATAAAATGAAATAATCTTCTTATTCTGATAGAGAAGAAAAAGCTGGATCACTTACCAGTAACTGGAGTTCTCCTATTGGGTAATCTCCACAGATCCACATTGTTTGAAGTTATTGTGAATGCCTCGAAGACCAAGGAACCGTTGAAATTTCCAATTTCAGGAAGGTAAGCAAGTGCACTGAAGCATGTCTCTAGCATCTCCCAAATCCCCTCCCCCAAACTTTCTTACATATACGTCTGTACTGCATGCCCCCTCAGTTCCAGTGGATGCCCATCGGGAAGATTCTCATGCTGGACAGAAGGGCAAGAGAGGTGGATCTGTGAGGGAAAAGACCCAATAGGATAACTCAAGTTACTGGTAAGTAATCTAGTTTTCACAAACTTGAGATTTTTTTTTCCCCCAAATTTTGTCCCTTGAGAAGGAATTTAATTGAAAAGAAAGGAAGTTATTTGGGATAGCTTCTTTTTGTATGTTTGATGTGGATTATGGAAAGTATTGTATGGACAGTAAATATTGAGCTATTAATGGGTGTATGAGTAAAAAGTATGACATTAATTTTAAAGTATCTTATTTACATAATAGCTGCTTCTAAAAGATTATACATTTACTCGGCCAGGGTTGGTGACTCACGCTTATAATCCCAGTACTTTTGGAGGCCAAGGTGGGTGGATCACCTGAGGTCGGGAGTTCAAGAACAGCCTGACTAACATGGAGAAACTCTGTCTCTACAAAAAATAGAAAATTAGCCGGGCATGGTGGTGCATGCCTGTAATCCCAGCTGCTTGGGAGGCTGAGGCAGGAGAATTGCTTGAACCTGGGAGGTGGAGGTTGTGGTGGGCCGAGCTTGTGCCATTGCATTCCGGCCTGGACAACAAGAGTAAAACTCCGTCTCAAAAAAATTTACACATTTATTGCCTTTTGGTAAATGGTGTAGTTGTTCTAAAGCAATATAGGGAGGCTAAACGTTGAATTCTTTTATACATTTCTTTATGATATTGCTTTTTTGAAGTAAATATTTACACGGTAAAATTTATGGAGATGTCATATTTGGTGAATTTCTTTTGGCACAGTAGTACTAACCAGCAAGGATAGTTTAATTGACTAGCACTTTTTTTTTTCTTTCGAGACAAATCTGGCTCTATTGCCCAGGCTAGAGTGCAGTGGTGTGATCTTGGCCTACTGCAACTTCTACCTCCTGGGCATAAGCCAGCCTCCCACTTCAGCCTCCTAAGTAGCTGGGACTACAGTTGCACACCACCATGCTCAACTAATTTTTTTATTTTTTATAGAGATGGGGTGTTGCCATGTTGCCCAGGCTGGTCTGGAACTCATGAGCTCAAATGATCTGCCCACCTTGGCCTCCCAAAGTGTTGGGATTACAGGTGGGAGCCACCACTCCTGGCCTAACTAGCACTATTTTTTTTTTTTTGACTAGCACTTCTTAATGACAGTTTTCAATATATCTTGAACTTCATTGAAAAATATGTTTGAAAAATAATATAGGATATGTTGCAGTTATATTTACCACTTCCTTATTTGTAATGAAAAGACTTGATGTGAAGTGTAGCAGAATTGGTTCAGTTTGAGCTCTCTGATTTCCTCAGGTACCAAATAACTTACTGAATTGATATTTGTAAATGTTACTATATAATTAGTTTCTTGCTTCTCATTTTTCTCCCACTCATTTTGCATTATTACTAGGTTACTGTTTCTAAAAAGGCATTTTGAATATAAAGGGCTTGTAGTGGTGTCCTGCTTATAGCTGTTTTACAAATCTTTCATCCATTTTCTGGATACTTGAGGCCTGCTACTATACCAATTCCATCCTGTTTATCCAGCCTTAATTTCTTCAGTTTGAAACTTTTGTTTGTTCTTACCTGGATAGTTATATTTACACTTGGTTTGTGGTTTCTGACTTTCTTCAGGTAAACTACTCTCCGTTCTGATTTCTGTACTTTAAAGTTGAGGCAAGTCTTACCCCTTTTATCAGTCCTTTTATGCTAGTATCTTTGTTATCTCCAATTCTTCAGTAGAAAAGTGGGATGTCTGTAACATTGTATTAATTCATGGGATTTACTTAATACAGTGCCTTAGCAGCACCCAGTTAATACCCTTATTGGCTAGTATTTGGCTGTAGATTGATCTTAAATGTTTTTGTGGTTATGGTTAGCTGAATGATACAGTTTAGCCATTAAATATTAGCTTTAGGTTGTATTGCCATTTTTTAATTTAAATTTAATTTAATTTTAATTTTTTATTTTTTGAGACAGAGTCTCACTCTGTCGCCCAGACTAGAGTGCAGTGGCATGATCTCTGCTCACAATTGCTCCCAGGTTCAAGCAATTCCCTTACCTCAGCCTCCCAAGTAGCTGGGAATACAAGCATCTGCCCCCACACCTGCCTAACTTTTTTGTATTTTTAGTAAAGACAGGATTTCACCATGTTGGCCAGGTTTTGAACTTCTGACCTCAAGTGATCTGCCCGCCTTGGCCTCCCAAAGTGCTAGGATTATAGGCATGAGCCACAACGCCTGGCCATATTGCTATTTTTAAAAAATATACAGCTCTTTTTTTAAAAAAATTACTATTTTATTTTTTATACAAGTATGTTGTATAATAAAAATATGCAACTCTTAAACTGAGTTTTTAGGTTCTTTGAGAGCAAACATAGTTTGCCTTTTTCTAAGATTTTTTTAAAGATATTTATGGTTTATCTTACTAGTTCCTAACATCAGTGACTGAGATTAAATCATCCCCACTGAAACATTAGCTTTTCTTATAGATTCATGAATACACCTACCAGTTTTTTGTTTATTTGTTTTGTTTTGTTTGTTCGAGATGGAGTCTCGCTCTGTCGCCCAGGCTGGAGTGCAGTGGCGTGATCTTGGCTGACTGCAAGCTCCGCCTCCCGGGTTCATGCCATTCTCCTGCCTCAGCCTCCCAAGTAGCTGGGACTACAGGCGCCCGCCACCACGCCCAGCTAATTTTTGTAATTTTAGTAGAGACGGGGTTTCACTGTGTTACCAGGATGGTCTTGATCTCCTGACCTTGTGATCTGCCTGCCTTGGCCTCCCAAAGTGCTGGGATTACAGGTGTGAGCCACTGCGCCAGGCCTACACTTACCAGTTTTTTTAATCTATGAAGCAGATTCATTTGCCTCATCAATCTTATTTGTAGTGTATTTTTTTCTTAAAAACAATTTTTCCCTTTAAAAACTGGTAAAGTGAAATTCTAATTATTTAATATGATAATAATTTATCTTGTGGCATATAAAAAAAGTGTATAGTTTTGAGAGTATAGAGTGGCTTCCGTTAAAGATTTAGTGTTAGAAAACAAACTGGAAATACAGTATCTTTGATTTTTGCAGTTTGAATATCTTAGATTATTGCTTTTTTTCAGAAATGAAGGAAGGAAATGCTCTTTGACAGATTGCCTCTTCTAAATAATCATCAGAAAGCAGTTTGTCCAATCATTAGACAAGCCAAGATAAAGAACATTTAGTCAGATGACTTAAATACTAGTTTTGAATCTACTGCTGCATGTCTTTGTACAATTCTGTTCAATCTCATAGTTTCTTTAGTGTGAATGATATGGTCATTATATTGAGAGTGTTATTGAAATATGGAGAAATATATTGAAATATTCCAAGTGAAGTATCATGTTGGGCTCAGGAGTGGGTTCAGAAAAAAAAAAGTGTGGAAGTTTGGGTATGGTGTGTGCATGTATATGGAGAGAGAGAAAAAAAGGTAAAGCAAAAGTTGTAAATGTTAACAATTTTGAATCTAGGTAGAAGGTATATGGGTCACTGTACTTTCAACTTTTCTATGGCTTTGAAATTTTAAAAAACGTTGGGGAGAAAGTGTTTTAAAAAGAACTTTGTGCTTCAGTTTCTCTAATTCTAAAATGGGAATAATAGAACTTTTCATGCCTTGAAGCAGGTAGGCACAGTGGGATAACATTTGGCAGAAGAGCAGCCAAGAGAATTCCTAAAAAGTGATTTTTTTTTTTTTGGTCATTAAAGAGGAGCTTTATAGTGGAGAACTTTTCAAAGAACATTTTGCCTAAGGTTTTTTAGCTTAAAATTTGTCAGTGACTTTTTTTTTTTTTTTTTTTTTAAATACAGAGTCTTACTCTGTCGCCCAGCCTGTAGTGCAGTGGCGTGATCTTGGCTCACTGCAACCTCTGCCTCCTGGGTTCAAGCGATTCTCCAGTCTCAGCCTTGTGAGTGGTAGGTCTACAGGTGCGCACCACCGCGTCCAGTTAATTTTTGTATTTTTAGTAGAAATGGGTTTTCGCCATGTCTCGAACTCCTGACTTCAGGTGATCTGCCCTCCTCAGCCTCCTAAAGTGCTGGGATTACAGGTGTGAGTCACTGCACCCGGCCAGACATTAGTTACTTTTTTTTTTTTTTTAAGAGCATATTGCATTATAATTGAACAAAAACAGTTACTTCAGAAACAAATATTTATGTAAAATAACCAATTAAAATCTTGAAAAATATAGCTTGTAATAAAATAACTCAATAAATGGGTAAAACAATAGAAGATTTGACACAGCTAAAGAGAGAAGTTAGTAATTTGAAGAAAGAAATGAGTACTTCTTCGGACAGGCACAGAGACATGCAGAGAAATGAAGAGGTGAAAAATATGGAAGAAAAGATGACAGAGGATAGATTGAGCAGTTCCCATATAGATCTAATTGGAGTTTTAGAAGAGCGCATACACAAAATAGTGGAGAAGCAATTTTAAAGGAAAAATGATTAAGAATTTTCAAGAATTAAAATACAAAATGGAAATTACAAAATGATTAGAACTAAATCACAACAAAAGTATATCAAAATTTGAGGGATGCACAAAAAATGGTACTTGGGGATAAAATTGTAATCTTTAATGAATGTATTAGATTGAAAGATTGGAAATAAATGAGCCAGCTGTTCAATTTATAAAACTAAAAAAAGAGTAGAGCCAAAGAAAGAAGAGGAAATAATAAAAATGAAAATAGAACTAGAAAATAATCAGCAATGGCCTGTAGCAGTGGCTCACGTCTGTAATCCCAGCATTTTGGGAGGCCGAGGCAGGTGGATTACGAGGTCAGGAGTTCAAGACCAGCCTGGCCAAGACGGTGAAACCCTGTCTGTACTAAAAATACAAAAATTAGCCAGGTGTGGTGACAGGCGCCTATAATTTCAGCTACTCTGGAGGCTGAGGCAGAGAATTGCTTGAATCTGGGAGGTGGAGGTTGCAGTGAGCTGAGATCGCCGCCACTGCACTCCAGCCTGGGTGACAGAGCGAGACTCTGTCTCAAAAGAGAAAGAAAATAAGCAGCAGCAATAAAAACAATGTCGCGATCAGTCAAAACTGATTATTTTCAGTTGATTCTGGAAATACCCAAGAAAAACAGATGAGACTAATAGTCAAATTTAAAAAAGAGGTGTCAGTACAACTCTAATGGTGATTTTTTAAATTATAAGAAATTGTTAATAATTTATATGTGTATAAATTTTAAAAATCAGAGTTTCATTTTCTAGTAAATTTTTTTTTCAAATTTGTCTGTACAAGAAAAAGAAACCAAAAACCATTAAAGAAATTGAAGCTGTAATAAATTTCCCCAAGAGGAATAGGTGTTTTTGCTTTTAATAACAACTTTATTGAGATATTCACATACCATATTACTTACCTGGTTAAAATGTACAATTCAGTAGGTTTTAGTATTTTTACAGAGTTTTGCCAAGAATTACTATAGTCATTTTTAGAACATTTTCATCTCTCCTAACCCTCTATCCTTAGGCATCTACTAATCTACCTCTTATTTCTATAGATTGGCCTGTTCCGGACAGTTCATAAAATGGAATTATACAGTATGTGTTTTGGGAGGGGTTGATTTCTTTCCCTTAGCATGTTTTTAAGGTTTATCCACATTGTAGCATATGTCAGTACACTTCATTCTTTTTTATAGCCAAATAATACATCATTGTATGTGGATATACCACATTTTGTTTATTCATTTATCAGTTGATAGATGTGTGTATTGTTTTGTACTTTTTGGTTATTATGAATAGTCCTTCTGTGAACTGTTATAGTCCTGTGTTGTTTCCAGGACCTCCCTCAGATGCTTTAAGTCTCTGACATAAAAATGCCACAGTATTTGCATATAACCTGTATACATTCTTCTATATGCATTACATGATCTCTAGATTACTTGTAATATCTAATATAACCCAAGTGCTCTGTGAATAGTTGTTATACTACATATTGCTTAGAGAATAATGACAAGGGAAAAAAGTCTGTACATAGTATAGACACAACTTTTCCCCCCGAATATTTTCAATCTGCAGTTGGTTGAATCCATGGATATGGAGCGCTGACTATATATACCTAGGAGTGAAATTGCCGGGTCATGTGATACTCCGTGTTTAAACTTTGGAGGAACTGCAAGACTGTTTTCCAAAGTGGCTGCATCATTTTATTTTCCCACTAGCAGTGTACAAAGGTTCACATTTTTCTGTAATGTCACCAATGCTTTTCATTATCTATCTTTTTAATTATTGCCTTTCTAGTTTGTGTGAAGTGGTATCAGAAGGAATAGGTTTTTTTTTTTGGTTGGTTTTTTTAGAGATGGGGTCTTGCTGTGCTGTTGAGGCTGTAGTGCAGTGGCTATTCACAGGCATGATCATAGTGTACTGCAGCTTCAAACTCCTAGCCTCAAGCAATTCTCCCACCTCAGCATCTCAAGTATGAAGGGTTCGTTTTAATGATGATATTTGTAATTATAATTTTAGATATTGCTTTTGGGGAACAGCTAATCTCAATCTTATACAAATTGACTCAGAGAACAGAAAAAGAGGGAAAGTTACTTTACCTGTTTATCAGGCAAGTTTAGCATTTAAATCTAGAATGGAAAGACTATACAACGGAAAGTATACTACATTCAGTTTTACTTATGAACACAGACATAACAATTTTAGTTGGGATAGGAGTTTAGGATAGGTCAATATTTGAAAACTGTATCAATTTTAATTTATAAGAAAATTTAGGAAAAAATCTAGATAAATTTGGTAAAACTATATGTTAAAACTCAATACCCATTAAAGTTTTAAAAAACCACTCTTACACTATAAACAGAAATGAACTTTTTTTCTTACAGTAAAGGCTACCTTTCAAATAGCAAGCATCATGCTTAATAGTGAAACTTCGGAAACATTCTCATTAAAGCCAAGTATAAGACAGATATATCTCTATCAATAAACAAAAAAGAAAGAAAATCCAAAAGGATTGGAAAGGAAGAGAAATGAGGTGAGATTCTTCCTAGAAATGTTAAAAGAAATGAACGTACTGTTTGTATTAATAAAAGAATTCAACATTGCTGGATACAAGGTCAGCATTCAAACTAGCAGTAGCCAGTTAAAAAATAAAAAATATCTTCTTCATATGAAATTCTATAAAGTACCCAACATTTTATTGAAGGACATAAAATTAGACATGAATAAAAGGCAGGATATACTGTATTTTTGGGTGGGAAGTTAAAATTTATTTAGTAGTAAATATTACTGAAAAATTACTTTGTGAATTTTATGTAGTTTCAGACAAAAATCCCAGTATGATTTGTGTGTGTGTGTGGAAAATGACCTTCATGTGCAAAATTAAAGGTTCAAGAATAACCAAGATAGTTTTGGAAGAAGAAAAAGAATGAGGAGGAACTTGCTCTGTTGGATGTCAAGATGAATTTAAAAATTATGGTATTTAGCCCCGGGCGTGGTGGCTCATGCCTGTAATCTCAGCACTTTGGGAGGTGGAGGCGGGTGGATCACCTGAGGTCAGGACCAGCTTGGCCACCATAGTGAAACCCCATCTCTACTACAAAAATTAGCTGGGCATGGTGGCATGTGCCTGTAATCCCAGCTACTTGGGAGACTGAGGTGGGAGAATCTGTTGAACCTGGGAGGTGGAGGTTGCAGTGAGCCGAGATCGTGCCATTGCACTCCAACCTGGGTGACAAGAATGACACTCTGTCTCAAAAAATAGAAATAAAAATTATGCTATTTAGATTTAAATACTACATACAATGACAAAGAACAAACTGGTATGCATAACATGAGATGAATGTCTCCCAGACTTAATGTTGAATGAAATTAGTGAGACACAAGGAATACATATTGTACGGTTTTATTTACAGGAAGCTCAAAAACAAGTAGGAATAATCTATAGTGATAGAGATGAGAATTGTGGTCATCTTGGAAGCATGGTACTGATTGGGAGGGATGATGAGGGAGCCTCCTGGAGCATGAGGAATGTTAATAGTTTGGCCTGAGCTGAATCACACAGGAGTATATGTTTTTAAAGGTCAAGCTGTACATTCAGTATTTGTGTGCTTTACGTAAGTACCTCTGTTAAAAAAATTATGGCACTTGAAGTATAGTATTAGTACAGGAAAAGACAAACTAATAGAGAGTTCAGAAATGGATTCATACGTATTTGGAACATTGGTAAAGGCTAGAAACATTCCCTGGCAGTAAGGAGAGAAAAAATAGACTCTCAAATTGGTTTTCTAGATGGGGGGAAAACTAGATCTCTGCTTCAAGCAATATGTGAAAATAAATTCCAGTTGAATTAAATAATACACATGAAAAACTATTTTTTAGAAAAAGGATAATATAGATGAGTATGCAACTTTAGGATATGGAAGATCTTTAACAAGTCAGGAAAAGAAGAATGAACCATCAAGGATAAAGACATTAAGGGTAAATGATTTTGCTGCCTCAAAAAGAAAAACTTGAGTTTAATAGAACACATCAGGCTGGGCTTGGTAGTTCACACCTGTAATCCCAGCAATCTGGGGAGACCAAGGCAGGTTCACTTGAGGTCAGGAGTGCAAGACCAGCCTGATCAACATGGTGAAACCCTGTCTGTACAAAAAATACAAAAATTAGCCAGGCATGGTGGCACGTGCCTGTAGTCCCAACTACTCAGAAACCTGAGACACTAGAATCGCTTGAATCCAGGAGGCGGAGGTTGCAGTGAGCCGAGATTGTGCCACTGCCCTCCAGCCTGGGCTCGGAAAAAAAAAAAAAGACATCATAAACCAAACTAAAAGATACATGACATACCTAGGAGGAGACACACACAATGTCTTTAATATTCGGTGGATTTGTGTCCAGACTATATAAAGATCAAAAGAATAAGATGATACACATAAAATGAACAATGGATATAAAGGCAATTAGCAGCAGAGGAAATGGAATTGGAATGGCTAATGAACTGGAAAGATGCTTAGTCTCATTTGTAGGGAAGTGCAGTTGAAAACATATGAGCTATCAATTTTCACCCATTAGATTGCAAAGCTTTGGATGGGATGTTATACAGTTGAAAATGTGCATACTCTATTATCTAGCAGTTAATTACTATTCAAGGTATTAGTCTAGAGAAACTTGAACACTTGCCCAAGGAGGAATGTACATGGATATTCATGTGGAAAAAATAATCTAAATGCCTGTCAGTAGGAATGCATGGATAAAGAAGATATAATTATACAATGGAGAATTACCTCGATCTATATTTAGGCTATTATCATTAATTAGTATTTATTTCAGTTTAAGAAACACTTTGTACTTTCTATGTCCAGGTTCTGTATTGTTTTAAGCCCTTTATGAATCTTAACTGTTGTAATCCTCATGAAAAGTCAGAAAGAGGTACTATCATCATATTCATTTTGCATATGGGAATACTGAAGCATAGAGGGGTAAATAACCTCCTCACTCTCATAGCTAGTAAATAGCAGAGCCAAGATTTGAAGGTAGGATTGGAACCTAAGTTGTCTGGCTTCAGAGTCCACTATACCATGCTACCTTTTGATGTGTATGAGTATGGAGATACCTCCTAAAAGTAAGGAAAAATTCATTTCAGAATGATGTGTGTAATGTGATCTCATTTACCCAAACTTATGACAGTGGTTGCCTCTGGATGTGATTGCAAGGTGAGGGAGATACACTGATGGTGAAAGGAAACTAGCTTTATGGAACTGCATGCTTTCCCTTAAAGAAGATGTATATTACTTTATAGCTTTTAAAATACTTATATGGAATATAGGTATGTGCTTATTTTTGCAAAAAGAAACACTGGAAAGATTGACCTTTGTGTTTTAATCTTCATTTCTTCTTGATACTGGTTTATGGTAGAAAAAAAGATTAGCTTGGTTCTGATGCAGTAGAGCAGCAGATAAGCACCGGGTGCTAGGGATAGGAAGGAATAGTTTTCAGCCTCTCTCTTTAAGGAGTTCAGCTTTACAGGGAAAGAGATAAGGAAAATAATTTTGATTCAGTTGATAACATGCAAATCTGTTTTCTGCCTTGTTTCTCTATCCTTGTCACTTTCCCTCCAAATACAAATAGGAGAAGGAGGAAATGTCTTGATTTGGAGCGCGGGAAACAGGCAGTGAAATACTGATGAAGATCCCACTTCTATTCTTTTACAAAACTACCAGAGTGTAAACTCTGTAATGGTCAGATATCGTAGCTTGTTCACCATCTTATCTCCAACATTTAGTATAATGCCCTTTGCTTAGTAAACTCCTAGAGATGTTTGAATGGATAACTGATGCACTTTCAGATGTCACTCTCAAATTAAAGCATCTTAACCCAAAAATTCTTCTTAAACTGTTTGAGATACCTTCCATTGATTCCATTTCTTCCATTGGTTGTCAGGCACTAAGGTAATTTAACTGAGAACGCTATATAACCTTGAATTGCTATGTGCCAAAGAATTCTGACTTGAGTAATGTTTTAATCTGTAGGAAATGTTGGGTCCCAAAAATCTATTTTATTTTTAACTGTGCTGAGTCTAATCCTTTTTTTTAAGCTAATAGTCTTTTAATATTGGAATAGTACAGTTGGTTTTCTCAGTCAGTATTACTGTATTCTGTGTATTTGAGTTAGTGCTAGCTTGTAAAACTGTTATGTTCTGTGTTTTGAAATTCTCAATTTCCTAAAACCACATTTTCTTCAAGTTTTCTGATAGGACCATAGACTGTTTCTGGATGGTATTAGTGTTTTTTGTTTGTTTGTTTGTTTGTTTGTTTGTTTGTTTTTGAGACGGAGTCTTGCTCTGTCGCCTAGGCTGGAGTGCAGTGGCCAGATCTCGGCTCACTGCAAGCTCCGCCTCCCGGGTTCACGCCATTCTCCTGCCTCAGCCTCCCGAGTAGCTGGGACTACAGGCACCCGCCACCTCGCCCGGCTAGTTTTTTGTAATATTTAGTAGAGATGGGGTTTCACCGTGTTAGCCAGGATGGTCTCGATCTCCTGACCTCGTGATCCACCCGTCTCCGCCTCCCAAAGTGCTGGGATTACAGGCTTGAGCCACCGCGCCCGGCCTGTATTAGTGTTTATAATATGAGAATTCTAGTGCCTTTTGAAATCTGTTATGGTATTGCATAAAAAGTAATGGTACTATTTCATTTCATCCTAGTGAGAAAGGTGTGTGGATTTTCTGGTGGTAAATTGGAGTCCATGTATGTGTGATCCTCCCAACAGAGTGAATTTAAATATCTAAAGATTACTGCGAAAGGATAAACTTGAATAAATCATAGTGAACAATGTTTATGTCACTTTTTAAAGTTTTAACACTTGTAATTGAGTAAATCCTGAAACAAAGCATATTATTATGTTTGATAGATTTAAACTATTGGTCAAATCCTGTTCCATGTGTACATAGTGTTTCTTTCTTACTCTGTAACCCTTTTGCCAGAGATAACAGGAAGAGAGCCTGGTTACCATTGGGTGGAACAATCCTGCCGGCTCAAGCCTCTGCCTAGAAATTTGGGTCATTCTCTTTTTTGGACAGTCTGGTAAGCTGTCACTGTTTTTCACCTTAAAATCATCTTGTTGAAGATGTACCCAAGAGGAAATTAATACTAAAGGAACAAACAATATTAAATTCAATGAAAACGTTAAAATAGTCAGACGAAATTAAACATGGCTAATCTAGAATTGCACCGTAAAGTGTTTTTTTATAATGAAGTATTCAAAATCAGGGTATATTTTACATTTATAGCACACCTTAACTTGAACTACCCACATTTTAAGTGGTCGGTACCCACATGTAGTTCCTGTATTGAACAGCACAGACTTAGAGCATTTGAAAAAAGCTTTGGTGTTACGTAGTTCTGCTGTTTGAAAAAAGCTTTGGTGTTACGTAGTTCTGCTGTTACTCCTCAATAAAGGTGCCTCAGCTATCTTTTCTTTTTTTATTGCTTTACCTGTTCATGGGCACTCATCTTAACTATTAATCATTTGTAGTCTGAAATCCCGCTATCCATTTCTGAATTTTACAGAGCATTTAGGGCTTTCCATAAGTGTTCCCTGATACCTAGATCTACTTAATTTCTTTAGATAAAATTGATGTTTCATTCTGATAAACTTTTGTTTTGAGACAGGGTCTCGCTCTGTTGCCCAGGCTGGAGTGCAGTGGTGTGATCTCAGTTCACTGCAACCTCTGCTTCTTGGACTCAAGCAATTCTTGCACCTCAGCCTCCCAAGTAGCTGGGATTACAGGCGTGAGCCATCAACACTTGGCTAATTTTTGTATTTTTTTGTAGAGACAGTTTTGCCATGTTTCCTAGGCTGGTCTCAAACTCCTGAGCTCAAAGTGATCCACCTGCCTCAACCTTCCAAAGTACTGGGATTATAGGCTTCATTCTGATAAGCTTTTAATCAGAATATTGGCTCTGCTTTTTGTCAGAATATCAGACCCTCTACATGGGCTAGAGTAGGTAGGATTATAATTATCATCATCTCTCTAAGGAAAGGTCACTAACTTCTTTTTTGCTTTAAAGTCATTGCTCTGAACCAGAAGGATTCCTTACATGATGACTTACATTTTTATAAGGTGAGGCCCAACATTTCACTCTATGGGAGTTGGATATGCTTTCCCTAGATACTAATTGCTGAGAGGTTTTCGAATCAAATTTTGTTTTTTACTTTTTTTCCTAGTAGATACTATTTGAGAGTGAACGTATTGCAAAGTAGAACCATATCTAGTTTGGTATACCAAGGTGGTATAACATAAGTGACTTAATATTTTGGTAGTCTGTTGCTTTCATCTGTCCTAGATGAGGGACCATTTAGAAGATTATTTTCAGTAAATGAATTTATAACTTCTAATACTAGTTATCCATGTATCCCAATAGCAACTGAATTTTCTATAATTTATTTCAAATACTCTCAGACTTTACTCTTGTAAGGTAAGATTAATTGAACTCTGATTATATAAATGTTAAGATTGTGAGGTTTTGGGTGTTACGTGTTTTCTTATGTTGATTATTGTTTAATTTCTATACCCATTGTTAGTGTCTAGTTTTTCTCAGCCTACCTCTTTGTTATACCACCTCTATTCCAGCAGAATCTCAAACGCAATTTTAGTTCTTCCCAACCCTGTTATCCAGGCATACATATTATTTATTGGGCATTTCCCTGCATAGTTAGTGCAGCATTTAGCTGTTACTTACCCCTGAGAAGATAGTAGTGTGGAATTAGCAGTGGCAGGATGTGGAATTAGCAACAAAGTTCCTGGCTTGGAGTTGAAGTGAAGCAAAGAATATTCTTCTTCTCCCATCCACTATAATCACACATTCTATTTAACTTCATATGAAAGCTGATAGCTGCTAATTTTTGTCACTGGGGTGTTGGACAAATTTTTGAGTTAGAGGAGGGTTCATAGCCAAAGGAAGAACAGCAGTCAGCCTAGAAAGAACACTGGGCAGCACATGGCAGCAGTGACTGCGAACAACCTGCTAAACAGCAGGCTGGGGTTAGAGCAAAGGAGCACTATAATAATTTTCTTTCTTGTATTTTCTGTGCTCTAGTTCTATCTATTGTCATGACACTAATTTTTGAAAAAATTCTCCTTTTAAACTCATCACTATTTACTGAGGACAACGAAATGTGAGGTACTTTCTTAGAATTGAACAAAACAGACACTGCCTTCTCAAGTGGTGATTACTTGATACCCTCTTGAAATCTTTAGTAACTCTCCATTCCTGTTTAAATCTCCACTGCCCTCAGGTCCAAGTCAGACTCATCAGCTTTGTCTTTGAGCTTCAGCAGGGACAAATGACTGGTGGTATTGGTTTGCTCATAGTCTTGTTTTGTTTAGTCCCTTCAATGTTGGCCTGTACCATGTTTCAAAGAAATTTAATGGCTATCATTAAAAAATCAAGAGCTTTCACTTGGAATTTCATATTTCCATCTTCTTTTTTTAAAAAAGGAAGATGTAGCAACACTGAGCTACCTTTGTTCATTGCAACAATCTGCACCATTTAGTTGGGGCTTTTGCTTTCCACAGTCCCTGTTGCCTCCTGGGTTTTTCTTGTACCTGGTCCTCTTTATTCCTTTTTATTACTTACCTACTCTCTGTAGATAATTCAACTTGCAACCCTTGTTTTAGATAATCTGGTCCCTCACTACTATAAACTAACTTTCTTTTCTTTATTATGAAACTCTGGTATAACCAAAGGGACATCCTCTTTAACATGTTCCACACTCCTTAGCATGGCTTGCACATTGTTTCATGTTCTAGTTCCTGTTTATTTCTTCAGCCTTACCTCTTTCCATTTACCTGTATAAAGTTATGTCCCAGCCATATTTGTCACCCACTTATAGGTGGTGTGCTCTCCTCTTTCTGGCCTTTACACACATGCTAATCTCTTAATCTCTGGATGCTGTTTTGCCTGTCCTCCCATTCTTTTTTTTTTTTTTTTTTTTTTTTTTTTGAAATGGCGCCTTGCTCTGTCACCCAGGCTGGAGTGCAGTGGCGCGATCTCGGTTCACCTTACTGCAACCTCCATCTCCTGGGCTCAAGCAGTTCTTCTGCTTCAGCCTCCCGAGTAGCTGGGATTACAGGCGTGTACCACCACACTCGGCTAATTTTTGTGTCTTTAGTAGAGACGGGGTTTCACCATGTTGGCCAGGCTGTTCTCCAACTCCTGACCTCTGGTGATCCACCCACCTCGGCCTCCCAAAGTGCTGGGATTACAGATGTCAGCCACTGTGTCTGTCCCTGTTCTCCCATTCTCTGTCGCTGCCTCAGTAACCCCTGCCTTCCACTCCTACCCACCACCAGTTTAGTTAATTTCTATTCACTTCAATTCTTAATTTAGGTGTTATATCCTTCAGAAAGCCTTCTGTGCTCCTATAGGATCTGCTTAGGTACCCATCCTCTGTATTTCCATAGCTGCCTGAATTTAACCCCGTCTCAACACACCATGACTGGTTTGATGGTCTATTCTCTACAGTGTTCTGTAGCCTTTTTGAGGGCAGAACTGTGTCTTCACCTTTGATTTCTAATGCCCATCATAAAATAGGTACATTGTAAATATGTAATGAATGGATGACTCACTAGGCTCTTTTAATAATCATTAATTCTGAGCCTATGTGGTTTCTATTGTATGGAATATTGTTTTCATCCTTTCAACTCTTCTTCATCCTCTAAGCTTCCACTAGGGGACTATCCCTAACAAGATACTTCTTTTCCTGGCCTGTTTTAGTTCCAGGCCTTTTCCTTCTTTAAATTCTGGTAATACTTTTTAGAAATCTTGTTTTAGCATTTGGCATTTGTTTCCTGTGTGTTACTTTAAATTGAAGTTACATTTAATGCCACAATTTCATTCTTAAGGTATTAAAATTTGTCAGTAACCTGTGCTTTACGTGATAGTATATTGCCAGCTAAAATAATGTATCCATTGATTAGATCGATTCATGAGTCAAACCTTTATTACTTTCTTGGATATTGTTCCTCATTTACAGAGAACTTGGACATCTAGCCAGAAGTTTTTCTCTCTACCTAGGTTTCTTTATCCATTTTGAACTTCTCCCATAATAGCACTTAGTGGATGTACTTCAATTGCTTGTGTATTTTTGTGTTTCTCACACTGAACTATAAAGGCTGAAACGGTATCATATTAAAACTACCTGTTGGTATAATGTTTTAACTAATATTGGAGTTTAGAAGATCTTGATGTTCAAAAGACGTATTTGATATATGTCTGTAAAGTGTTTTCAGTAAGCTAGGCATGATCATCTCATTTATTTACATGTGGACTATTAGTTACACAGCTTCATTTGCGTGTTTTCTAGACATCTCAAACGCAAAATTGAACTTACGTATGTTTGCATGCGTGAGTGGGTATTTCTGTATACCTGTAACATAGGGCTTAGACCATAGGTAGTATTTAGTAAATGTTTATTAAGTGAGAATGGCTGTCCAACACCAAAAAATTTTTATGTTACTGATTTAGAATATTATAGGACATAGTTAGGTATATAAGAATGGCTTAGATTTATTTATTTATTGTGCAGTGGCACAATCTCAGCTCACTGAAACCTCTGCTTCCTGGTTTCAAGTAATTTTCCTGCCTCAACCTCTCCTGAGTAGCTGGGATTACAGGCGCTTGCCACCACACCTGGCTGATTTTTGTATTTTTAGTAGAGACGGGTTTTCACCATGTTGACCAGACTGGTCTCGAACTCCTGACCTCAGGCGATCTGCCTGTCTCAGCCTCACAAAGTGTTAGGATTACAGGTGTGAGCCACACTGGCCAGCTTAGATTTATTTTACTTCACAACTTGTAGTGTAGAGCTTGCAGGGCTGGAAGTTGCTCTGGGTGAGTCATTGAGTGAGTAGTGAATGAATGTGAAGGAAGGCCTAGGAAATTACTGTAGATTTTATAAACACTGTACAGTTAGGCTACACTAAATTTATTTTAAAAATTTTATTTATTCAGCAATAAATTAACATAGCTTAATGTAATGTTTTTACTTTATAAGCTTATTATTAATTTTTTTTACCATTTTCACTCTTTTGTAGTGACACTTAGCTTAAAATGCAAACTCACTATACAACAGTACCAAAATACAGGTATTTTCTTTCTTTATATCCTTATTCTGTGTGCTTTCTCCATTCAAAAAATTTTTTACTTTATTACTTTTTAAACTGTTAAAAATGAAGACACAGACACATACATTAGCCTAGGCACACAGAGTCAGGATCATCAATATCACTGTCTTCTTGAGAACTCTGCCTTGTCTCACTGGAAGGTCTTCAGGAGTAATAACATGCATGGAGCCATCATCTCCTTTGATAACAATGGCTGGTCAGACATGGTGGCTCATGCCTGTAATCCCAGCATTTTGGGAGGCCGACACAGGCAGATCACTTGAGCCCAGGAGTTGGAAACCAGCCTGGGCAATGGGGAAAAACCCTGTCTCTACAAAAATACAAAAAAATTGGCTGGCTGTTCATGCATCTGTAGTCCCAGCTACTCAGGAGGCTGAGGTGGGAGGATCACTTGAGCGCAGGAGGTCAAGGCCAGCTGCAGTGAACAATGATCGCACCATTGGATTCTAGCCTGAGTGACAGAGTGAGATGCTGTCTCAGCAAAAAACAAAAACAACAATGCTTTCAGGAATACCTCCTGAGGGGCCTGCTGCAGGTTGTATACAGTTATAAATACAAGGAACATACTCTGAAATAGCAATAAAAAGTATAGTAAATACATAAACTAGTAACAGTCATTTATTATCATTGTCAAGTTTTATGGACGATACATAATTGCGTGTACTTTTTTTTTTTTTTTTGAGAGGGAGTCTCATTCACTCTGTCGCCTAGGCTGGGGTGCAGCGCGCAATCTCGGTTCACTGCAGCTTCTGCTTCCCCAGTTCAAGTGATTCTTCTGCCTCAGCCTCCCAAGTAGGTGGGATTACAGGCATGCACCACCACACCTGGCTAATTTTTGTATTTTTAGGAGAGAAAGGGTTTCACCATATTGACCAGGCTGGTCTCAAACTCCTGGCCTCAAGTGATCTGCCCCACTCGGCCTCCCAAAGTGCTGG